AGTTTATACACTGAGACAGACTAGGAAGAAGGAAGAGGCCATCCACTTCTGAAAGAATTGGCCAGGGAAAACCTTATGAATAGCAAAGAAACACTCGAGGTTATAGTGGAAACCAAAGGAAGAGTCTAGCACAGCACCCAGCTCACAGGGAGAGCTCAATTCAGAAGGTTCTTTTCTTCCTGCCGACAGGTGTAATTGTCCCTGGACCCCACATGTATTTCCTAAGTCATACTGGGCACTGCCGGCAACATCCAGGGGTTCTGAGAAAGACCTGGCTGTGCTGATGACACACCAGAGGGTCTTTGAGCCTCTTACCTGTAACAGGCCAGAATGTGGAACAGGTAGTTCGCACATGTGAGAGACGCAGGTAAAATAGTCGCCACCCAGACTCCTGAAATAGAGCAGGTGATGGGAGAGGCCTCAGAAGATAAACCAGAAACCATATTTTGAAACACTTCCCATACCAGAAAGGTCCGGACAGAATGTATACGTGAATAAAGTGGGAAAATCAATAGAGAAACCCTAGAAAAAGGAACCAGATAGAATTACTGGAGTTGAAAATTACCATAACTGAAATGAAAAATTCACAGGAGGTGCTCAACAGTAGATATGATGGAAAACTGTTTGGTGGTTGCTCAGAAAGTTCAACATGGAATTGTCATGCTGTTGTGGTTGTTAGGTGTCGTTGAGTCAGCTCTGACTCATAGTGACCCTATGCACAGCAGGACAAAACACTGCCTGGTGCAGGATTAGCATATGAGCCAGCAATTCCACTCTCAGCTACACAACCCAAAGATTGACAGCAGGGACTCAAACAGGTACTCGCACACCAGTGTTCAATGCAGCATCATTCACAATAGCAGAAGGCGGAAATAGCCCAAGTGTTCATCCACAGCTGAACGGATAAACAAAATGTACCTCATACATGTTGTTGTTGTTATGTGCCGTCGAGTCGGCCCCGACTCATAGCGACCCCTCCTTGGGTTTCCGAGGCAGTATCACTACGGAAGTAGGATTGCCCAACCTTCCTTCCGAGGAGTGGCTGGTGGGTTTGAACCGCCAGCCATCTGGTTAGCAGGCAAGTGTCTTAGCCACTATGCTACCAGAGCTCCCACCTCATACATAGAAGGGAGTATTATTCAGTCATAAAGAGAAATGAAGCTATGTCACATACCATGGCATGAAGGAACCTCGAAAACATCTGAGAGAAGCAGGTGACACACAAAAGGACATTGTATGATCTCACCTCTAGGAAATATGTAGGGTAGACAAGCGCATAGACAAGGAAGTTTATTAGTGGTTACCAGGGGCTGGGGGAGGGAGAAAAGGGTAGTTACTGCTTACTGGGTACTGAGTTTCTGTTTACAATGATGACAAACATCTAGAAAGGGATAGAGGTGATGGTCGTATAACCTGGTGAATGAATTAACGTCACTGAATCGTACACTAAAAATGGTGAAAGTGGCAAACGTTTTGCTGTGTACATTTCACCACAACAAAATTTTTAAAAAGAATAAAATACTTAGGAATAAATTTAATGAAAGAAGCACAATACTTAGACACTGAGAACTACAAAGTAGTAATGGGAAGAAATGAAAGAAGACATAAATAAATAGAAAGACACCCCATTCCAAAATCCACTGCCATCAAGTCAATTCCAACTCATAGAGACCCTTTAGGACAGGGTGGAGCTGCTCATAGGATTTCCAAGCCTGCAAATCTTTCTCTTGCAGAGTGGTGGGAGGGTTTGAACCGCTGACATTTGGTTAGGATCCGAATGCTTTAACCTCTCTGCCACCAAAGTTCCTTAGACAACCCACAGAATGGAAGAAAAGACTGGCAAATAACTTATCTGCCAAGGGACTTGCATTCAGGATATATAAAGAACCCCTACAACCCAGCAATAAAATGGCCTATAACCCAATTAAAAGGTTTTACCTTTGGCCACGTTGATTAGCTCTTTCACATGCAGAACGACTGGGGTCAGGGTGCCTGTGTCATTCACAGAGGTGATGTAGTTCTGCAGTTTGCCTTCAAACACATCCAGCTCCTCTCTCACATACACAAACACGCAGAACTCAATGACGATGAACTGGGGACACAAAGCAAAAGTCCCAAGCCCAGCTTGATAGGTGGACAACATGAGATCTCTCCCAGGTGCAGAAGCCTGTCTCTCCCAGCCATTCAAAACCCTCCTGAGATTGATTCTGGACACTGACTAGATTGTGAGCTCTGGGAGATAGGAGTCACCCCACACTCTGTTTTTCACCCCATAGCAAACAGGAGCAGGCCCTACAAAGTCTCCAGGAACTCTTCAACAGTCAAAAAAAAAAAACTCACTGCCGTCGAGTCGATTCAACTTGTGGCGACCCCTCCTTGGGTTTCCAAGGCCGTATCTCTATGGAAGTAGATTGCCCAATCTTCCTTCCGAGGAGTGGCTGGTGGAATTGAACCGCCGGCCTTCTGCTTAAGCAGTCAAATGCCTTAATCAAAAATGAATGACTGACCTTGAGGACTGAGTGATTCCAGCCCCATCTCCCACTGCTCCATGTCATGCACCTTGGGCAAGAAGTAGCCTGACACTTGTCCACCCTCCTGTGTCCCACCATCATGCCACCATGCCTCCTATTGACATGCCACTGGTTCTATAGCTCCTGTTGCCATCTTTTTCCATCAACCAAATCTTATTTGCCTCTGGAAATAGAGTTCCAATGCGACCTCCTTCAGGAACTTCCCAATCTGGAATGACCCACTGAACACCCAGGACACTCCCACCTTCTCCTCTCTCTTAGGATGGCAGATACTTCATGCCATGTCTCCTTCTCTTAGACGTGAGCTTCTCCCAAGCCAGGACTCTTCTGACTCCTACAAGGGGGATGTTTTTTACTAGTAGTATTTACATTGGTGGCCAAAATGTCCTGGGAGTCAAGACGGTGGCATCAAAGCATTCTACTTCTTCGATGGGCAGAAATTCAATTTTGATCCAGCCTTTGAGGAACACAGAGCTTGCATAACAGGTTCCACAAGCCCCTATCCCACCTGATCCTGAAACAGAAAAGCCTTTCTCAGGGCTACTTACAAGGTACAGGCAAATGAAAGCCAGCACAGTGGTTCCAATCATTCTGCTTGGGAACTGAAAGCAGGGGTCCCACTCGTAGATCCTGGTTTGGAACCAAGACTTTTCTCTCTCTCTGGGAACGAATAAACATCAAGAAAAGAGAGACTCTGGTAGGTAAACAAATACCCAATTTGTCTCAAAATAACACCATCTCCTCCTCTTCCTCTTGGAATTTAAAGTAGGGAAAGACAACGGTAGTTGTCCCACAGTTTTTCATTCATTCCTTTTTTTTTTAAGTGCATTTTATTGAAATATAATTTATGTATAGTAAAATACACAAAAGTAAAGTGACATGGGTCAATGCATTTTTTTTTTTTTCCAGTTTTCCCTCTTCTTCCCTCCCACCCCTGGCAACCAACAAAGAAAGTTTCCCTCCATATATAAACCTTTCCTTGACCCTCCACAGCAATGAACTAATACTGTATTTGTTCTTCTGTGTTTGACTTATTTCACTCAGCATAATGTCCTCTAAGTTCATCCATGTTATGTGGTGTTTTGCAGACTCTACATTATTCTTTAGTGCTGCATTCCTTTCCATTATGTGTATGTACCATAGTTTGGTCATCCACTCTTCCACTATAAATCTTAGAGATAAATCCCTCACCAGATATGTAATTATCGGCAAATATGAATTTGTTCCTGTCATTTTCATTATGTACTTTTTGAGAGGTGTCAATTTCTTTGTTCCATATAATTTTCTATGCTGAGTTCATTTTGTTTATGAATTGTGTTATCACTTCCTTCATTGCTATTGTTTTATTTGCTGAGTATTTATGCTGGTCCTCTTTTTTGATGTGAAGGTTTATCATTTTTCTTTGAGGTTACCCTGTGACTTATAGTTTTCTTCCCAAGTTGAGAATAGTCAGTTCTATCTTGTAGTTGTCTTGACTTCCCTACCATCTAGAAGTTCTGTAAC